AGGGTGCTTCACAGTGAAGAGTCAGGCTTATGTACATACTATGTGAGTATGTACAAACCAAGTAAATGCACATGCAAATGGCTAATTATACATCCAAACAGCACTTGCACATGCAGTGCCCAGTCTGCATAGTGACTGTAACTGCATGTATAATTTCTCTTGATTGCTGAATGCCAAACATTTTTTAAAATGAAATCCAGGGTCTGCAGTAGACTAAGGCAACTGTTCAAAATGGGCATTTATAAAACAGTTCATGTTTAGCTCCCTGAGAATATAGTTTGATTTTCTAACAGCTGAGCAGCCAACAGCTCTCGCTGGGTTTGGAAAAATCTGACCATGCAGGCATCTACATTTAGTTTCAGGAACCTAATTTTATGTACTCATGTTTTGAGAAACACTGGCCAGATTACCAGCTCAGGAAGTCAGTCAATAACTAAACATTCAATGCCAAGAGATCTAGAAAGTGAAAGTCTGTAGAAACATGCTGAAGGAGGAGATCCCTGCTATTGTTATTTATCCTGGAATGAATCTAAAAAAACCTTAAACCCAGCTCAGCAGACAGCTCAGGACATCAGGGAGAAATATAACTTTGTGAACTACATACATGCATTCCTCTATTTGCACAACGACAGCAGTTACCCTTTATACAGCACTTTGCTCCTTCAAATCCCTGCACAAACCAGCTAATAAAATAACGATGCATCGCAACATAACATTTTAACTGCAAAACAAAGGAGCAATGAAGAAAAGTTAAATCGACTTTTTTTTTGCAAAGCTCAGAAATGTTTGGCTTGGAGTTTGGGGCCAAGGCTTTGTCACCATTTCTTCTCCTTTTATCTGAACCAGCTTATTCAGAACTAATCTTCATCATCTAAACCACATAATTAACACACAAAATCATTTTAGAGCAAGCCAGGTCCCAGCAGGAAGCAACATGTCGTATCATGTCCTCATGAGATTATACAGCAAATAATTGTGGTTTCTTCAGTTAAAAGCAAACAAATAAATAAACATTTTCCACATTCAAATGTGTCCCTTGAAAGGGTTTTCTTTTTCTTTTCTTCCTTGTGTTGGACACTTTCTGTCTTACAATGCAATCCTTGCACCAAAATAGAATTCTTATTTCCTTGAATATTCGCCAGGCCTACAGTGGGGAGTAACCATACCCACAGGTGAAAGCAGGAATTGGCCCTTAAATGGAGTGGCCCAGAGTCTCTGTTGTTCTGGTCAATTTGTACCAGGCTCTGGGGACAAATGTAGGTTTTAGTCCAATCTGTATTATCTCCATGCATAAGAATAGCCCAGTGCCAGGAAGTTCTGATCTCGGTTAACTTCCTGATCCAAAGCTCTGAGATGGTTTCATCCCAGGGCTCTGTTTCTGTCCATCACAGAGATGTGAAGTCTGCATTTGGATTCTGGGTTGTTAGAGGTGGCTGTTTTGGGAAGGGTCATCTTTAAAATAGGGGAGAGAAAATGGCTGGAGAGACTGCATCAGGTTGTAGTGAAATAAAAACTAGCTCCCAGAAAAGGAAGTGCCAGGTGCCCAAAGGGCTGTCTTCATTTTATGGATCCAGATAATGCCCATAAAACTTGAGTCAGTAATTTGGCCAGCCCAGACCAGGTAGGCAGAGGCGTAAGTGCTTAGGATCTACTCCCACACTCAGTTCAGTGAGTGCAAAAGAAGGGCAAGTCTTAGCCAACTGAAAACAGGGCTCTACAAGCATGTTTCCAAATACCAGGCAGAGCTCTTCAGTGGGTACATTTGGTGCCTGTTAGGCACTAGTCTGGAGGTGACTGGTTTCCTTGCAGTATTTTTGGCTCTTAGCATTCTTTCCCAGCATTTTGTAAACCACCACAAAGGGGAAGATAAAAGGGGGATTAAGCCCTTCTTGAAATGAAATGCCTGATTCTTCTCTCCCCACAATCTTTTCCTGCTGCCCCTTCCAGGCTGGCAGCCCCTGGCCTTGGCAAGCCCATACAAGCCCTGCTGAGCTGATCTCTGCTGGATGTCCCTTTCTGTAAAGATGAGACTTTGCATGGCCTAGTGGTGAAATCACAGGGCTGGGAGTAAGCATGAGAGTGAAAGGGGATCTATGATTATCGGGATCAGAAGAAGAAAACAATGCACAGAGGGTGCTGGGAGTGAGGACTCTGCTTGGCAGTGCAGGGGCCTAGCTCTTTGTAGTTTCTTAGCTCTGCAAACCAGCTTGGAATTTAGTTCTTTTTTAAAATTTGTAATTAATTTTCCTATGTAAGAAGCAGCAGAGGGTCCAGTGTACCTCCCATTGTAGCTGATGGCAAAACACACACTAGTTTTAATAGGAAAATAATAGAGTTCAAATCCTTTTATTCTCCATCATCACTGATGCTGTTGTAGCATCTCCTGTTCCCTGTACTTTTTCACTCATGCTGAATTGATGCCCAGTCCTCATTTGCTCTACCTTCTCAGCCTCTGTTCCTTGACACAGTTAACACTGCAGATCCCAGTTTGTGCTTCTTCAAAGGGACCAACTGGCTCCTGCAAAAAGTCAACTGCAACCCAGAGGATTAATTGAACTCACTCACTGGCTCCTATGTTGCTCACATTGACTTCTGGTTTTCATGACACAGAGTTTCTCCTGCTTGCTTTTTATCACAAGACTTGTGAATATGTTCAGCTCTTCTCAGGATCCTTGGCCCACCTTCTCTTGAGTACTGAGCCTACTGGGATGGACCAAAAGAAAATAAAATAGCTGCACTCTACAGCTTCAAAAGAGAATTGGGTAGTGTCCCACATGCTGGGAAATCTTTAAATGGAATGGAAGGACTGAGCCTCACTGAGACATACCGTGTTGCCAGCTTTTGTAGTTTTATTGTAAGTCTCGTAATAGTTGATTGTTTTAAAGCCCCAGTTCCTGGAGTTGTGTTTCCAGGTGACCCACATCTTTCATTTAAATGAAAACACGAGGTCTCAGCTATCATGGTTACGGGACTGAACCTACATACACTCCACAGGCTCAAAATCCAAAAGACAACTAGATGCGAACCCCAAATATATCTTTTCTTAATCTCATTACTTTTAAGCCAATCTCATGATTTTGGAGGCTTGAGAAATAATTTCTAAATGTTTGGGGTTTGTGGTACCTGATAAAGGTCTCTGAGTATTAAGGTGTCCACACCGCCCTGCCTAAAGGGGAGATGAGGCCGAAACCAGGATTTTATAGAACTGTCCTTGGAAAATCTTACCCCTAAATACTCAAAGTCCTACTCCAGCAAAGATTGGTTTGAATAAAATCTGGGAGAATTATTAGGGTCAGTCCTTATCAAAATAGAAGCTGCAAGGAGTCCTTATGGAGCACAAATAGACAAGCTGGTTCCAGCGCTTTCACAATACAACAGGAGGAGCATGAATGAGCAGTGAATACAGAGGAGCTTTGGTCTGTGACCAGAGATGGCACTCTCTTCTAGCATGGAGCAAGGAGCTGATTGTTTCTATTCTCTGGCATTTCTGGAAAAAAATCAGAAAATGTCATTTGGGATCAACCCAAGACAAAATTATTTGAAATTCCTAGTGAACCAGAAAGTTTTTTAAAAAAATCACCAGCTGAAACATTTAGTTGGACCCAAAACAAATGTTTAATATAGATTTGGGGGGAGGGGGGGTATAATTAAATAAAACTGAAATAAATTTCAAAATAAATCATACCAGCAGTTCTAAGATGAACAAATCACAATGGTTTGTTTGAAAAATGTTAGCATGACCGATTTGGGGTGGGGGGTCCAGTCTGCTTTTTTTAAAAGTCCTGAAACAGTTCACTAAAATTGACACAAATTCAGTGTTTCAGTCAAATAACATCTGCATTTTTGGAGCCCAAAACTTTCAGGTACTAAAGTTCGCCCTGCTCCCCTCCTCTCCAGAAGGTCGTGGTTAATATGTAAAAGAGGTGACATGGTGAGAGAGGCAAGATTTTAGCATTTCTCAATATAGGCTGAAAATGGCTCTTGGTTTATTTGATCTAGTCCTTTTACAAGGATCCCAGGAAGCAGAGCACAGTCAAGGAAGGGTCAAGATTTGCCTTCATTTCTTGTCACGTGTTGCTGAGTTATGTCTCAATTAGTCTGCAGGCTCCTCTGGCCACGGAAAGTGCCCTAACACGTGTCACCAAAGTAGTGCGTGATTAAAACAATAGTTCTCTTCACTCGGCATTTTCCTTCTGTCTGTGTCTTCCTTGAGCTGAATCCCAAGCAGGTCATTTATTGCTCATCTGTGTGATGTATAAGCAGCATATTTGATATAATTGCAGTTAATATTTTATACTTCAAACATTACATTAAGCCAGCAACTGTTGGCAAACAGCAGGAGGACATAGAGTGTCAGGAATTAGAGGAGAGTCCTATCTAATTTAAATGATGTTGCTCTCAAAAGCTGGCAACGGTGAGTGCGGCTTTTTTAAATGTTTCTATTAGGAGCTGATGTTTATGATCCCTCTCAGCTTCAATCTGGCAAGAAAAACACTTCTCTAAATATTTACATTTCAGATTCTTTGGGACATTTGAAAAATGTCGGCTCGCAGCTTTCCACGCTGCAAAGAGGTTGCAAGGAATGTTATTATTATACTAACGTTAGTCCTGCAGTTCCCTGATTTCCCCTGTGGCAACCCTGATGTTAGCTCTGTTCCTAATGTCACTCGTGTCCTCTAATTTCAATGTCACTCCAGCCATGTGATTGTAAATTAAATTATTGAGCTAATAAGAATGAAATAAATTGTTTTGTGTTAATATTCTAAGTTGATGCCGTGGTCATCAGTTCTAAGTCTCCTGTTTGAATGAACATACTCCCTACAGCTGTATCATCCAACAACGGAGAAAAAAAGAATATTTCCAAAATATAGAAGCTCTTTGGGGCAAGGGCTCGACGTTTGTCCAAAACCTACCACATAAGGCTCATCCAGAAGAGCAGGAACATTTGCTTCCCCAGGGACAAGTAGCAGTGGCACACCTTATGCTGCTGCTATTTGTCCCCAGAGAATGCCCATGCCACACATGCTCTGGCGTGCAGCAAGTTACCCCAGGTAGGGAACGGGAGGCCGGAGCCAGCAACTATGCTAGAGTCCTCCAGGAGCTGCAGCCACGGCAGGAAACCTGGCCGGGCAGGCTCTGGTTTTGGGCAGCACATGCTGCCACCCTGTGCATCACCCTGCTTTTTCTGGCATGGGTTTTTTTTGACCCCAGGAACTCCCCAGGGTCAAAAGTAGCAGCAAAGTAGCGGCACAGGGAATGCCTACATATGTGGAGTGTGGTGCCACAGATGGGTCTGTGGTGCCACATGCTGCAAGTCTGTGGTTGTCTGGCCGTCCCCATGGGGCCTTGGTCTGGTTGTCTTGTCAGTATTACAGCAATAAACAACAGCATTAAGATCATTTTGGGTCACACGGTGCATCATACCGATGCTGAGGTGACCACTTGCATGAGTAACTGCCCATCAACCGGCATAAAACATTCCCAGTGTGTCCACAATGCATCACACATCACAGCCTGAATGCAAAGCCCCCTTAATCTAGTGAAAGCTTACTCTCAGGAACTGTCCTGTTGAAGTCTAGAGCTAGAATACAGCACCTATAGCAAAAATGACCCAACCCAACCCTACATTATCATCACTCATTAGAGAAAAACATCAACTTCAGGTTGGTTCTTCTCTACCAGCAGTAAATTAAACACAATTGAAAGCACAATTAAAACTTAGGTAAGTGCTGAATAAACTATTCACTTTCGTTCAGCAAATCACCTAAGTATGCGGGCCCAGATCCCACTGATTTGAAGTCAAGCATGCACTAACAAGCTTTGGTGAACTGGGACTGAACACCTTGATTTTATCAAGTGCTGAGCAGGGTCAGTTCTCAGGTTGGGTGATAATACCTGTCATTTGCAGGACTGAATAAATACAAGCATTTACCAAAGTAATTTTACTCCTGAGAGCAATGCAACAGATTTAAATATGGAATGCAAAGGGACTACTCACACCTGTGTGTAAAGTCACCAACACATCTGACTATTTACAGGACTGGACCTGATGTCTTTTGTCAGCCTACACAGCTGTTGAGTGTCCTATCTGTGTATCAGAGTAATTAATTACTTAATCAAATGATCAGCTCCATTCCAGCTGAAGATCTGTAAGCCACAATCACCATGGCATCATCTTAGATACAAAACTTATTGCACGCTTGCTAATTATTCTTTTGGGTATCCAGTGAAAAAGCCCAGTTTTGATTAGGGTGAGTAGATTGTTCTCTTGCTTCACAAAAAAAAGTTCTGTGTCTTAGTTCATTAGGTTGCTGTTGATGGGCATGGAGAAGTCCATAGCAAGGTAACTCTTCAATTTGTGACTAAAAAGCCTACTGCAAAACATGAACTCTGAAGTATTAATTATTCTTGGAAAAATAATTAAGAGTAGGTTGCACAATTATAGCGACTGTCATTAGGGGAAGTCAGGTAATATAGAAATTTTAATTATAATGAGGTCTTATCCCAGCGTCTCTGTGATAATGCTAATAGTGTTTGTCTATGCTGCATCACTGAGATACCTGCTGATTTACCTGAGCTAACTTTTAGTTGGCTTACTTTCATGTTGGTGCCAACAGCATGTAGCAAAACGTGCTGAGAAGCAGGGTAAATAGTTAGGTGGCTAGTCTGGGCTTAGCTCTGTTCAACTACCAGTATTAAGCCAACTAGTTTAAAGCTCCTGCACATATAGCTACACTACTGCATAGTCACAGTACAGTGTCTTCTGTGTCCTAAGTGTCATTATTCCTATCACAGGTCTGCAATCTGAGGTGCAAATGGCCAGGCTTTTTTTTTTTAAACCATGTAGGTACCTAAGAACACAGACAAGCACCTAGTGGGGAGTTCAGACAAGTGCGGGTGCCTAACTGCTGTGGGTACTTATGCACTCTGGAGAATTTCATGGGAATTTCTTCAAAGCACTAAGGCATTGATCTGTTGTGTGTGGCAAAACTTGCATGACTCAGATGGTAAATCCCACTTTCTAAGGGACTTAAAGTTCTTGCTTACACATGGAGTTATTCCTGATAAACTCCTTGTACTACCCTAGGATGTTCTGCCACAGAACATTTGCTGTCTTACAGCAAGGTACTGACATTGCTGTGTCACACTTGGCAGCTCTTGCCAGTGCCCCAAGTCCTCTCGGTGGGAGGCTGGGTCAGTAGAAGACATGGTGCCACTGGTAGGAGCCCAGGGCTTACCACTGCTGATGTTGCTGTGTTGCAAGTCCAGGCTTGTTTTTTGTCAGCTGTTGTCTATTGGCTGAGGGTTGGTTTCACTTAGGAAGGTGGATCTATCTATTCAGGAAACACAAAGCTGCATCATTGTCAACTCACAGCAATGTGTGTGTGGATACACACAAGCCCAAGATGCAACTTCTTTCAGCAAAACACCATGGTGTAGATCGGACCCAAATGCCACGTGTCATTCTTATTGCAGAATAAGGGTGACCGTACTTAGGAATGAGTCCCTGTTAGGTACCTAGAAACCTGAAGCTGCGTTTAAAGATGGATGAATATAAAATTTGGGCCTTAAAAAAAAACAGGCCCTTTCAAAGGGATGAATAATTTGGGATGATCAAAGAAAAGACGTTTTTCTACTCTCTGACTTTCAGAGGTACCAAGAACCCAGCTATTCAAATGAGGTCTTTGGATGCTATAAGGCTAGTACCGCTGAAGACTGTCATCTGTTATTTCAGGTCAGACATCCAAAATCCATACCCCTTTGAAAAGTTTGGTCTAAGTGATTTGATGTGTCATATGTCACCGATGGAGAGAACCTCGACTGCCAGCTCCCTGCTCTCAGTACTAGATAGTCCTGCCTCTTCCTCTGTGGTAAATAGATAAGAACAAAAACTGAAAAGCTTGCAAGCTGTGGCGTGGTTTTTACTGGTAACAGGGAGGAGACACTACCAGGGGGTCAGAAAATTCCACAGAAGCAGCACAATAGTTATTGTTGCAAAATGCTGCAAGCTTCTCTTTTGTAGTACAGGATGCTTGGGTAACTTGGGTTCAGGGCATTGTGTCCTTCTGCCCACAGTCAGAAAATCTTTGTCCTGTTATAGATAAGACTGTCAAGTCAAGAGGCAGATGGTTTCAACAGGAGGCTGGCCTAGCCTAAAATTTACCTCACTGTTCCTCAAACTTGGAATAAATAAACTGTGTATTTCAGGGACACTTTCCTTGTCACTAGAAGATAATCACAGATCTTCTGTGGCCCTAGTAATGTGTCCTATTTCATGAGAATTATAAATTCCATAGGGTGAAGCCTGGGGTGCCTTAGAATCTGGAAATAGTTCATAAGTCTGTAAAAAGATTCTGACTGAAATTTTCTCATTACAACTATCCACCACAGCCCAGGAAAACAACATTACCAATCACTTCTGCCATGTAAAATAAACCAGCATTTGCATTTACTAAGATGCAGTTGACTGTACTCTTATCCATAAGAAATTTAGCTGTAGATCTGAAGAATTTCCCTTCTACTTCAACAGCTCCTTTAGTGTGAACAGCATTCCTAGCAAGAATGCATCAGAGTCATCTTACAAAATTCAGTAACACCCACGAGGTCAGGCCACCAAAGCTTGCCAGAACCATTTGATAGGGCCATGGGAACATTAACAATGAACACTAACCTATGTTAACCACAGGATCATTAACGATGTTAACTTAGCCAAAGAAATCATAACCCGTCACTCCTCAGAAGTCAGAAGTGACTACTATATAGGGGCCGTGTCCACACGAGACACTATTGTGCAGTAGCGTTGGGGGGGCACTAACCAAGATGTGACACTACTGCACAGTAGGACTGTGCAAAATTTTGCCAGCCTTTTCATTTCGACACTGTTTCGACACATTTCGAGGTCAAAACAGCAAAATCGAAACAAAACAAAGGGCTTCAAAACAGTGTTGGAACAAAACAAGGCTATTCGAAATGTTTCAAAACTTGAAAAGTTTTGACCATAGCGCTGGGGATGGAAGTCAGTCCAGCTGGGCTGACTTCCCATCCCCGGCACAAGATCAGGCCAGGGACTGAGACAGGGAGCAGCTGGCTGACTGGGATGCTGGATCTAGCGCCGGGGACGGGAAGTCAGCTCAGCTCAGCTGGGCTAACTCCCCACCCTCAGCCCGATCTAGCCCAGCCCAGCTGACTCCCTGTCCCCTGCTCAATCCAGTGCTTAGAATGGGAAGTCAGCTCAGCTGGGCTGATTTCTTGCCCCCAGCCCGATTCAGTGCCGGGGATGGGAAGTCAACCCAGGTGGGCTGACTCCCTGTCCCCTGCCGGATCTAGCGCCGGGAATGGGAAGTCAGCTCAGCTGGGCTGACTTCCCACCCCACTGATCTAGCGAAATGTTGAAACTAAGTTGAAACGGCCTCACTGTTTCAGCGAAGCAAAACAGACCAGCTGTTCTGAATTGAAATGAAATTTGATATGAAATGCTGTTTCTTTGAAACCTCAGAACTTAAGGCAAAATGGAATGGTGCCATTTTGCACAGCCCTACTGCACAGTAGCGTCAGATAAAAACTGTGCAGGGACACTACTGCGCAGTAACACTGGTTACTGAGCAGTCAATTAGTACTTGGTTATGCAAGTACTAAATGACTGTGCCATAACAACTGCGGCCAGGAAGAAGATGCTTCAGAACTTTCTCCTCTAGGCATAACCAGACCCAATGGCTCAACACTGGAGACTAAACATTTCCAAGTGGAAACATGTGCCAACTTTTAACTGGGTGCGTCTACATGAGATGCTTTGCTGCACAGTAGAGCTAATTACTGTGCAGTAAATGCCTGTGTCTACATGTGAAGATGCTTACTGTGCAGTAATTGGCTCTATTCAAGTGAAAATTTGCTACCCGCAAATGCAAGTAGCAAATTTACTTGAGATTACTTACTGTGCAGTAGTGCATGTGTAGCTGCCTGACCGGAAGCAAAATGTGCCCCTGGTCAGCCAGGCTGCAGGGGCCAGGATATTGCTCCCTGCCCCCTGTAGCTGCCTGTTGCTGGGCTGGGCTCTGCCACCAAAGCCCAAGCAGAGACAATGTCCCCCTGCTCCAGCAGCAGGGAGCTTCCAGGCCACACTCCGCGGTCCCAGGGCTGGCAGATCTTTATCTCCCAGCCCAAATCCTGTGGTCATGGGGACAGGGGCTAGGAGACCCATGGAGCTGCTGCTGGGAGAGAAAGATCTCCCAGTGCTGGCTTCACAACCAGAGAGCTGGTTCTGGGAGAGAAGGATCTCCCAGACCAGGTCTCATGACTGCAGGGCTGGGAGAGAAGAATCTCCCAGCACTGGTCCCTTGACTAAGAAGCTGGTGCTGAGAGATAAGGATCTCCAAGGCTGGAATCTGCAATTACAGAGGGAGCTGGGAGCTTTCAGCTGCCGGGGCAGGAAGACATTGTCCCTGCCTGTGCTCCAGTTGTGTAGCCCATCCCAGCAGCAGGCAGCTCCTGAGGGCAGGGAGCAATGTTTCAACCTCTGCCAGGAGACAACTGTCTCCTGGCCCCTGGGCTAGTACCCAGAGCCTAGATCTCCCCCCCCCCCCTCGACTGTTGCAGGGGCCCATTGGAGGGTCACAGGAAGCAGAAGCAATTTACTGCCAGAAGCAGCAAATCTGTTCCTGCATCACTGCAAGACACATATCCAGGAGAGTTTATTCTCGAGTATTTGCATGTGTAGACACGCCCACTGAGAACTAGGACAGAGCTGAATGTAGTACACAGCCTGTCTTTAAAGTGGGATTGGACATTTTACTAAAGATACACTATTTCAATGGCATATTACTGGACCTAATGCAGGAATCCCAGCATGAAGGTCTGTGGCCATCAGGTCATACTATACACACGTAAGAGCTTCTTCTGGCCTTAAAATCAAAGAATCCATGAAAGAAGGAGGTGAAGGAAACCAGAAGAAGGGAGAGTTGAGAGAAATGCTGGAAAGGAGACAAAAACTAGAAGATAATGGTGGGGTATATGTAGGGATGAGGCTGCAAGAACCTTGAAAGGGAAGGCTGAGGAGTTTATCGGCAGGTTCAGACATCATGGCTGGAGCAGTGCTGATGGGAGATGACAATGGCAGCATGAGGATTTCTCATGCATAATATGTGTGCGCTGTTACAAAGAATATGTGTGTTCTCTGAGGTGCTGAGCCTTCCAAATTCATACTGAACCCAGCGAGAGCTGCAGATACTCCACATGGAAAATCAAGCAAGCAGCTTTTCAACAGCCCAGGAGGGCCTGCAGGGCTCAGTAGGAAAGAGCTCAGTAGGAAATTTATCAGTGTAGTTTTATTGTGTAGAGTGATAACTGGTCTGGTAGCCAATGAAATCTGTGACAGTAATTTTTACACTCCGGAGTAACTGGTAATACCAGTTTTGCTAGAAAATTAATAAATGCAAATGTAACTGTTCTAAATACATGTAAGAAACAAGTCACCTCTAAAGATCTGACTTTCATTCCATAGTGTTACATGGCACAAAGAAAAAAAGGTGTAAATTTGCCCCATTTGGCATCTGCTGAACCCCAACATAAAGTGGATTGCTAGCTGGGATTGGTGTGTGGGGTTACAGTTAATAAACTGGCAGTGTTGTCCCAGTCCCTGTAAAATGCACATCAGTCCATCCAAGTATACAGCTGTGTGCAGCATCCAAGTGGGCACTGAGCAGTGAATGCACTTGTGCTCACACAGTCTGGGCTTGATCCTGCATTATGCAAAAGCAAAGCACAGGTCCTGATGCAGGGTAAGCAGTGTTGGGCAGCTCAAGGGAACCAGCAACTGCGTGAGGGACAACACTGCTGCCACACAGCTCCAAGCTACTTCTGGCTCTTAAATGAAGTGAGGCCAGCAAGGAGAGTGCATAGTTCGGTGCCCCATTAGCACTGCAGCTCTGAGTCTTGAGATACATCCAGTCCCTAGTCACACCCTGCACCCTGAGAGTAAGTGAGCAGAGGAACTTCTGACTCCTTGCCTCTCAGTGCAGAGGGCTATGGCTTGTCATAGCCTCTGCACAATTGCCAGTCACTCTTCTCTTGGAGGCCAATAATCTGATGCATCTCAGGAGGGCTATGCAAGGTGTATGCAGGAGGTATATATATTTCTTGGCTGCTAAGGGTGACCTGATGCTGAAGCCATCCAGCGTGGGCCAAAAGCCTACTGCTGCTGAATCAGCTGAGCCCAGTTCTCCAAGCAGTGGTACAATGGAAGAGAAGGATTCTGCAATCTGCCTGGTCTAAAGCTGTTCTGTCCCTGAAATTGCCAGTGGGGGAGCAGGGCCTTTATGATTAGATAAGATGAGGAACCAGGATCTCATTCTGACATTTATAATATTATATCAAAGGTAACCTCATTCCAGTCTATGTGAACTCCATGGAAGATTACTCCTTGTAGTCTAGTTTACTGTTTACCTAGGCTGGTGAGGACCGTGTGTTTGCAATGGTTTCAATCTGGCCTTTACATGTTTGCCTGCTTGCATTTTAGATATTATAGTGGGAATTTGAAAGTTGCTCGGTGCTCGCCTACCCACTCCCCTAGCAAAGAACTGACTTCAGCAGGAGGCAAGTTAGGTTGATGTGGATCACTTTCAAAAACCTCGTCCTACACTGGGATTTGAGTGCACAGGTAGGAATCTGTCCTTGCAAATAAGCTTCCCTTTGTGCACACACGCCCTCATTAGCCTCTAGTTGCTTGGAAGATTATGCATATGTAAACAGGTATGACAGGGGTTTTCAACTTCTTTGAACAAATGTAACCCTCCCCTTCTGTCTCAAAGTTTCAGCTCATGTACCCCTTTATATTTTTATTCTTGTTTTTAAGGGGAGGGGTATGGGGGGGCACAGATGGAGGCCTCTGCGATGAGGAAGGGAGTGGGACTGGGGCAGGTGCTACACAGCCAGGGCAGGGCGCTGGATGGAGCTGCAAGTGACTTGTCCAGGTGGCACGGATAGTGGGGTTGGTTACTGCTGCTGCACACACCCTTGGGGTGCATGGGGGGGCGTGTGCCCCCTGATCAGCATTTAGGGCAGGCTGATGCTGTGGGCTGGGGCTGGTGCGGTGCCAGGTTCTTCCTGGCTAGGGCTGGGCTAGGCTGGGCTGAGCTCAGGGTGGATGGTGACAACACTGGGAGGAGGCTAAAGGAGGGGCTGCAGCCACTCCAAAATTCACCGTAGCCCCTCCAAACCCCCTCCCAGCACTGCCGCCACTGGCCCCAAGCACAGCCCAGCCAAACACCCCCACTGGGAACAGCCCCATGCTGCCCCGGCCCCAGCCTACAGCTGCAGCCCACCCTCACCCCATGCACAGATCCAGGAACACATGCCCCCCATGCCCTCCCATGGGTGTGTGTAGTAGTGGGAGCTGCCTCTCCCCTCTGTGCACGGCTCAGTCCCATGCCCCACCCTGGGTAGGCAGCCCCTGCCCCAGCCTCACTCCCTCCCCCACTGCTGGGGCCTTGATCTGCCTCCCCATACCTCTTCCCTAACGAAAGACTTGCCAGCCGGAGCCAGCTGCTCTCTATGCTGCTGGGCTGCGCTCCTGGCTGCCTGTGCACTGTGCTAAAGCTGCCAGTAAATGGCAAGTGGTATTTATCAGCCACATTATCGCCCACAGTTCTGTGTACCCCTTACGACCTTTTTAAGTACCCCTAGGGGTATGCGTTGCCCCGGTTGACAACCACTGAGGTATGAGATCAAAAGACCCCAGCAAATCATTTCATCAAGTGTCTTCTTGGTAATAATCTGTGGATTAAAACCCAGGGGCTGAGGTCTTGTGAAACATGCTGCATTTGTGTTTCTAAAAAAGGACGGAAACAGGGGTTGACATACCCACAGGTTTTAAGCCATGAGGCATCATCCTTGAGCTGTGCTTTGGGAAATGTTTTTAGAATTACTCTTGCACTTCCATATTTCTGGAGCTTCTGTGCCAAGCTAAGATGTGCTAAGAACCATAAGGGATGATCGTGCTCATGTTCATGTTCTTCCATTCAAATGCCTCTTCTCCCCATAATTGAGCTGCTGTGTGTAGATCTTCTCTCACTCTCCCTTGCCATATGTGTGGGAGTGGATGGCATCAACTTTATGAAATCTGAGCACATGCCAAGAACAGCTGGAGAAGTTGAAACAAGTTCTGGGTGAGGTGAGTTTCATGGGCTGGGCAGGGATTGATATTAACAGAGGTACTGTGGCTACTTGCCATCCCCGGAGTATCGTATACAGCATGTGATGCTGCCAGCTTCAGGAGCAAGTTCCCCATAGAAGGAAAGATTTGATTTTATTCAGCTAATCCTAATACAGAAGATCAGAACAGAGGGATCCAACTCCACCCCACTGCCCCCACTGATGCATCATGTTACTACCAGCATCTTATTGTCAGTCTAAAGTAATTAACATCTTTTGCCCCTGAGTAGCCCTCTTCATCTTCAAAGCATTTTAGCAATGGTAATTAATCAAGCAGCACAACACCCTGCAAAAGGGTTATCCTTCATTTAAGGCATGGGGAAACTGAGGTGCAGAGAGGTTCAAGTAACAGAGCATGTCAGTGGCAGAACTCTTGGGGCCCTCTCTAGTCACCAATCCACATGGTATCCCAATCAGAAAGCCTGTCTGCTGGCCCCATGTTGCTAAGGGCACAAACAAGGTTTTCCATCTTTCTATCCCGGGCCACTGCTTGCTTGTCCTCCTTTTTCTTAGCTCCTTTCAGTTTTCTTGCTCTGAGTGGGGACCAGTTCTTTTGGCTGGCTCCGGAGGTATGAGTTTGGGTGGATTAATGAATCCTCACAACCCAATGCAACCCATGCAAGAACAGGTATTATCCTGCATGCTTTAAAGCTGAGGAAAGCAGGGAGAGATTATGTGAGACAACAGGAGGAGCTGGGGCTCAGAGGTGCCTAGATCCCAAGCCTGTACTCTGACCACCAGCCAGCCTCATCTTCTCTCAGGCACTGCACAGGATGCCTCAGTGCAGTGTTGCAAACTGGACATGAGGAGACGTATCCCCAAGAACATCTTGTACAGTGAGATTCAAGATGGCTCTAGAAAGTGAGGTCACCCTCCAGGGCAGTACCATGATGTGTGCAAAAATGATATGAAGTTGTTCAGCATCAATGTAGAAAGCTGGGAGGAGCATGCAGAATCCTGTCTGACCTGCAGGGAACGTCTGACACTAGGTGCAGTTCAACATGTAGTGGCTTTGATCCAGACGACGGAAGCAAAGCAAGAAAGAAGGAAGTGGTGTGCTGTAAGCATGGACTGTAAATGTGTAAACTCAGACAACATAGGTATCTGTGAACCTTGCTACAAGCCGTGTTGCTCTGGAACTGGGCTTGTCAGCTACGAGTGGATACACCAGGAACCTGACCAGACCTCTTACGCATACACTGTGATCCAGAGGATCAATGGTTGCCTATATACACTAACAGCTACAGACTCTTCCACTCAACAAGCCCCAGGGAACCCCCATTTCCAAGAGAGGGTTGGATAGAAGGTGGTAGAAGGCTAGGAGGAGTGTGACCTGGCAAGATGAGGGAGGGTATAAATGAAGAGCTAGCTGTAGAAGATAAAGCGTGTTACCTCTAAAGACTGTCAAACTCTAAAGTACATCTGCAAGGTTAGGCTTCAGCCTACGCTTTGCTCATGAACAACCCACAGCGGTACTCACCCCAGCAGCCCTGGCTGCCGCTTTTCTAACAAAATGTTCCTCCAGCACCAAAAAAATATAGCCTGGGCCCTCTGTTTAGGAGTTAAATAGGCCACTACAATCACTCACAGGAGGGAGAATTGCAGAAAGAGGCTGGGCCTTTATCTGCCAAGTCCCCTCCCATCCAAATGGATGAATCAATAGCTCTTGAATTTTCCCACTGCTCCTGGTCATGAGCTTTTTCTTGTTGTTCTCCCTGCCTCAGTCTTCCATTCTCAGGTGAAATGTCATGGGACACCCAACAAGGGAGATGTGATGAATACAATAGTTAAGCTATACTGGTGAGTGACTTTGAAAAGAAACAGTAATTAATATTAATCTCTAATAAAAAATCCCTACTTAACCCTATCTAGTTAATCTAAGTAGTACTAGGGTGTAAGGCTGTCTTATTCAGCCTCTGGACAGACTCACCCACAATGCCCAATATCAACACACCCTGTATACACCCAGCATCATCCTTAACAACACCTTTGTCAAGGCAAAACAAAGACAAGCTGTACCTTATGTCCTTTGCATTCCTGTGCAGAAGAAAGGTTCCTAGTGCTAATTTATACCAAGCTGAGGATCTGAGCTGGGCACTCTCCTGATGACTGCATTTGGAGCTCAGAAAGGAGAGCCCAAATAGATTCCCAACACAGAAAATAATGCTCTGAATGGCTGCTGTTTCCATTCCAGGCCGTGTTCAAAGTCCCAATGCCTGGGCGTGTTATCTGGACATTCTGCTAGAACCATACCGGGCAAATGTTGTTGAGACTGTCAAAGATTAAATATGACCTGCCTTAAACCTGTCATCATCCTAGAGGAGTCAAGCACAAGACATGGTTAATATATTATTAAGGGATGCAGTGTTTGTATGTTGTTATTGAAATATATGAGATAATGAATATTTAAATATTGAAATACAGAATCAGAGAAAAGTAGGACTGGAAGGGACCTCAGAGGTCTAGTCCAACCCCTTGCCTGTGACAGGATCATTCCTATCCAAGCCATCCTATAGAAATCCATGCATTGGATTCCAAAATACTTCTTATTAAAGCTTCTGAAAGCCCTTCATAGATAATCCTCCCTGCATACAGAGCATAGGATTCAGGGGTCACATCATCCCACAATGAAATGCTGCCACTTCTCTCGGTTCTGTTCCTTCTTGCTCTTCTCTCTAGCTCTCTATTCAGCCTTTTTTGTCTCTTTTAGCAGGTCCACTTCCCTACACAGGTTCTCCACCAATGCAGGTCTCCATTTTTTATCCCTTGGTGAATTTATGCCCTCATACATATATGTCCCTGACTCTCACACTTCTTTTTTCAGCCTGACTGGACTCCTTCTGCCCCATCCCATCACTTGCTCCATGATGGCTCACCTGCAATCCAAAATTACTGGGACTAAGAGCTGTGTTGCACGTTGCAGTTAGGACATGTTAGCTGCACTTAAAACATGAGCATCCGAGTGTTCAAGCAGTAAAACACATACTAAATGCAATCACATCATAGCAAAATTGCAACTTCTTCCAGAAGGAGTATCTTCAGATCATATTACATAACAGGTTTTCAACTATTGTCCGAGTGCTTCATGGAGAGAATATCAGCTCAAGTGTCCAGTGTGGTGGGTGTGGGGACTGGCACTGACAATCAACTGTTCAAGACTGCCAGTGACACAGACCTGGCTCACCCTGCAGAGCCAGTGGCAGGAGCAGCACCTTCTCCTGGTCTCCACTCCCCATGCCTCTGTACAACATCAGGAACCCAGCTCACCCCAATGTGTCAGGAGCAGTGCCTGGGCATGCACTGGCCATGTAACTGAGCATGCGGCAGGGAGGGTGCAGGCTTTGGGCATGGGGGTTTCATGTCCTTGCAGATGGACATGAGAACTGGATGCCTATATCAGTGTGAAAGAGGGGGCAGAGCTGGATCCAGCCCTGTCCAGAACAGGCTGAGAACACAGTAAGTAAACTTTTAATTTCCCACACAGCACTTTGCCCCTATCCCACATATTAAGCCGACTTGTATGGTTGGAATTAGACCTCATTAACTTTACTGGGGTTCAAAGGGATTCAGGGTGTGGGAACAGCTAGCTCAGGCGGCAGCATCATAACTTCAGTCCAACCTAAGAGATCTCCATCCTGTGGCTAAAGAACTACTTGAATTACCAGTCCTGCACCAGTCATCTGCACCAAGTGTGGTACAGACAGTCCTTAAGACATTTTGAGTTACAACAAATGGCACTTACAACTGACACCCTGTTTCAACTTTCTGACGTCAGTTTTGACTTTAAAACGCTTGACCCAATGTGACGCCACACCAGTGAGCAAGTTTGCTGTGTCACCCATCTCCCTGGAGAACATCTGTCCAAACTTCCTTGCACACTTTCTTTAAGAAAGCAGACAAGACTCCAGAAAAACCTGCAGACAAGACTCCTGAGAAGACTCCAGCCAAGAGCCCTTCAAAAAGTCCAGCAAACTCACCTCAAAGAAGTCCTTCCAAATCAATGTGATTGCTATTTACAATATAAAAACATTAATATAGCTATATTACTCATCTATACTCGACTGAGTACAAAATTCTGTGTTATTTTTGGTGAAAATAGGGTATCGGGCCTTGGCTCAGGAACCAACCCCTCATTTATAACATTGTTCCTATGGGAAAATCAGTTCCAAATGACAACATTTCGACTTAAGTGGTTTTCAGGAACCAGTTGTGTCGTAAGGCCGAGGACTGCCTGTATTCACTCAGAAGATCCATTTTCTTTTTTTCAATATCCTTTTCTCCTTTCACTGTTAAAACTTCTGGGACTGGAACTAAGCAGACCTAGCACATAAGCCTGGCAAGTTTTGCAGATTGCAAATTGACTAATTAAGGGACCTTTTCCAAATTTTTGCACAGAGAATAATACACAGGGTAGGAGACATCAGTGGGAGTCTATGGTGCACTTGGGCTGTTCTAAACACTGAAGATTAGAATGTCGCCCAACAGAATAAATCCCAGCTCCCCACAGCAGTGTCCCATTCCCACTCTGATACCAGCACCTGGGCCCTAGAAGAACTAAACTGTTTTAATTGTATAAAAAGTTCAGACTCAGAAAATTCACAGAAATGCAAATGCTAGGAATACACCTGCAACAATATCATTATTGCAAGAGTAGGCATACAGCCTGAAATCTCTGTGGGAGTCAGCAACTCTGGGAGTAGAAGGAATGCCATGTGCTTTTTTTTGTTGACCAGACCATGGTCGTTACAAGTAGCAAATGCTCAAAGCAATAGATGTAGCATGTGGTGACATAGACGCTGAAATATGTTTGCAGTAACCATTCAACAAATGGTAAAAATCACTCTGTGGGCAGGTAATTCACAAAGAGAAGATGCAATTCATCAGGTAAATCAGTTGGTTCAGCTGTCTTTCACATCGGAAGAAGAAGAGGCTGATTCTGGCGAGACGCTGAGTGGTGCATGTGCTGTACTCAAACAACCTCTCACACAAAGCCTTAGGGCTTCTCTGCACAAGAGGGTAGAAGTCAGATTTCTTTGACACTGACATAAAGCTATTTCATGCTAACTGGTAGAAAGTAGGCCTATCAAAATGAACATCTGGCTTTTACTTCATTATGAAACATTGCTTTCACATGATAGGAGGGGATTTCCTCCAAAACATGTCCTTTACAGTGCTGCCAGGTCCTATGTATTGTGGGCTATCCAGCAGAAGTTAACCAGAAGTCATGCAGTCTGCCTCTGGGAGTGAAACTAAAAATCCCATAATTCCCTTTTTATCCCATAATCCTTTTCTTTTAGGCTGGTTGGCATCATTTTCACATTCCAAACAGATCATTATGGACAAAATATGGGTTGTTAAGGACAGAAGAGCTCCCTGTGCTGTGATGTGGGTAGTCAGGGACACACATAGGCTTATGTGGACGTGTTGACATGGCGCTGCTGGAGAGCTACAGCTAAGCAAGCCAACTGCGACACTCCCAAGCAGATCTGGCTGTGATTTTGATATCAACAGCAGATTCAGCTACAGCTTCCTTGTCCCTATGTACAGCTAAACCAAGAGGAGGAAGAAGAGAATGACAAGACTGAGAAGTTGCTTCAGGCTCTTGAGAGGACTGACAACAGTACGTCACCCACATTTCACATCTGTGCAAGAGAGTGGGGGTAACGACTGCTTTGTAAACCTGGATATTGGTGTCTTTCCAGAGATCATGATGAATAAAGACATGCTGAAGCAATCTCCCAAAGGAGGCACTT